GAAAAATTTTTGGGGTTCATCAAAGAGAACGCGGCAAGATGTTCAGTGCGCAGACGATCGCCTATTTGATTCACCAGAATGTCACAGCATTCCTTTGCAGACAAAATCAAACGCTGCGTGGTTTGCCCGCGGCGTAAAGAAGCACTACATGTGTCGTCGTATTTCATTGTTTCCCGGATACGAGATACAGCATCGCGGAAGTCTGAAATACACGACTGCACAGACGCTCCATCCATTAGCCTTGGCTGCAATGCGCCGTATAATACATCCACGTGATAGAATATTGTGGAGAAAAAAGCGAGAAAAAATGAAAACTCACCATCTTCTAGCAGACGCTTTAGACCTGCCGCCTCCCTCACAGAGCGTTCGTCCCAAACCGGAGAGCTCTGAATGCCATTGAAACACTCAATGAGCTCAGACCTAATTTCGGACACGCCATGCACAAGCTGGGAGACGGAGGCTACATATCTGGCGAAGGAGGTCAGAGCGCTTCGGCGAAACGGAAAAAAATGAAGAAAACCCCGAAACATTTGCAAAAAATATACGGACGAGAGGGGTATCAAGACACATATTTTTAATAACGAGGTTAAATTGGTGTGCATAACAATGTAAAAAATGCACATGAGGAAAATCTTCTTTTATATAAACTTGAACACCATGTTTCGACCCACTTATGACTGCCGCGCCGTCATAAGTTTGAGCTATCAATTTTGACTTGCCCCGGTTGGCCCTATTGACGCGCCACCACTGACAAACACATTGATCAGTATTTGTCATTTATCAAGCTGAAACATGCACAAACCACCCAAAAACTAAACGAAATCGGGAAAAGCCTATCTATATCTACATTTAGAGTGTTAAGATTCCAAACCCTTCCTAACGGAAAAAGTGCTTCCGCAAATGTAAGTGCTTTCGAGCTTCGATAAATATTTTCAAAGCAAAATCTTGACTTTGGAAAATGCTCATTGCTCACGCGATTCTAAAATGCCATTTCAAATTACCGTATTTCCCGGCTAATAAGTCTTTCCCGCAAAATAGGCGAGGTCTATTTTTAGCACTAAAAAAGAGGGTTTTTCCATATCGCCCTATATTGAGACGGGTTATAAAAACAGCTTCTCTGTTGGTCAGTTAAACACTAAATATGCGCTAATTATTTTATACGGTTAGAACCATATTATGTTTATTTGGTAGAATCATACTCACATAATTACCTATTTTTAATAATGAAGCGGTAATTTTAAGTTATAAAGCGGCAATCATTTTGAACAACTTATTTACCCGAACGTTGAAATAACTATTGAATACGGAGTGATACATACTACACTGTATACTGTATGTCCATGGGTTTGTTAATTAACAGATGTGTTTTCCTGTCTGTGTCGTTTTCCGTCGAATCTGTCTCATATGCGTCACATTACTCTTGTTGCATGATTATTAGTTACAAGTTAAAATGTTTTATTATTGGTATAATATAAAATGCAATCTGTCAACCTTTTTTTTTTTATGCCAGGAGAGTTGTTGTGATTTAGTGACCGTATGGTCCTTCCAACCTCCCATCAATTCCGTTGTTAGTCGAATATCCTACTTATTGAATGTTGGTATTTGTGTTTTTTGTTTGATTTGTTGGCTAATGACTGGATGCTGTTCCGCCCACGTCAGTGCATAGAGCGGCGCTAGTCGCATCAGAAATCGAAAGCCGGCGGCCGAGTGTGTGTGGTATGGAGTTAAGTAGTTGAGCCGTTTTGACATGGGCATTTTTGGAGTTCGGCATATGCTAGAGACACGCCCGAGGTGTCAAAAGAGAGCTTAGGGTCCCAATATGATAAAGAAAATTTTTCAGCAAGATCGGGCCAGTGGAAGTGGGCCAAAACTGGCTTTTAGTGCCCCGAGGCTTCTGATTGGTCGAAAAGCTGTCAGTCAAGTCACGCTAGAGTGATTTTGGTCCTTAGAAGCCGTTTGGCTGCGTTTCCGGGCCGGGAAACGGTTTGCCAGGGCATTGGGAATTTTTCCAAACGTGTTTGGGGGTGGGGGAAGTGCCCCCGCCCCCCCAGTGGTGAGAAAACGTGTGGAAAGCCACGCCCACTTGGGTAATATGGTTTTGGGGCGATTAGGAGCACTTGGAATCGGTTTTTGGGCAAAGTGATGCTTAAATATGGAAGGGACTAATTAATAGAATATATTACCACCTCGACTTTGGGGATTCCCCTTCCCCGTAACGGTCCAGTGAGTTCGGAATGTTGCGCTTAAGATTTAAGATATTGAGAAAAAAAAATACATAGGTAGGTTGAGAAAATTTAGTTTAATACTTTTTTCAAAGAATTTTTTTGCTCCCGTGCCTCCGTCACGGTCTAGTGATTTTCGCCTTTTGCCGGCTCCAGAGAGGTCATATCGATAATCTGAAGGCATGGGCATGATCAGAAAAATTATTCCAATCACTTATCAGCAAAATTTTTTTTCTAGTACTCTTCAGTCACGGTCCAGTGATTTTAGGCCATATCTCGAGAACAATGATAGACAGGGGTCTCATATTTGGGTTATAGAAGGTAGTTGGAGTAGAGTTTATGCCTATAAAATTTCGTCACGGTCGAGTAATCACGGACTTTGGAATTGATAAAAATAGACTCCCGTCCATACAGATGGTATTGTTTATGTTAGGGGGCGTCAATGGCGTCGGTCGGATCATGCCGCGATCCGTCCGACGCAACGGATGGCGGCCAGAGCGTCGCGGACATACCCGGCCTGGGCCGAACCAACCATTTGTGCGCCCGCGGCCCCCTCGTCGTGTGCCGCAGGCAGACGTTTATTTCTGGATGGTAAGGCAAAAGGGTAGCACTTTAGTGCGTTATGCACAGTTGAAATCAGAAGTCTTTGCACAGAAGACAAATAGCTCCATTATAAAGCGATAGCACTGTGAGATTGACTATTTCCCAGAAAACTGGAGGGCCGATCGGGACGAAACTTGGCATGTAGCGGGTGGAAGTTACCAAACTAACACACAAAATTTTTCAGAACTATCGGACTAGGGGAAGTGGGCCAAAACGGGGTTCTAGTGGAAAAATTAAAGGATGCGCGACATTGAGCTGTCAATCAAGCCACGCTATGTGATTTTGGGGTTTAGAGGCCGTTTAGCTCCGTTTCCGGGGCCAAAAAGCGTTTGCCCGAGTATTGGGATTTTTTCCAAGTGTAATTGGGGGTGGGGGCACTGCCACCGCCCCCCCAGTGGTGAGAAAACGTGTGGAAAGCCACGCCCACTTAGGTAATATGGTTTTTGGGCTATTAGGAGCACTTGGAAGTGGTTTTTGGGCAAAGTGATGCTCAAATCTCAAAGGGACTAATATATAGAATATTTCACCACCTGAACTTTGGGAATTCCCCCTCCCAATCGCCCTCCAGTGGCGTAAGAAGGTTGCGCACCTAAAAAGGAAGCTATCGAGAAATAAAATAGATAGGTATGTTGGTAAAGTTTAGTTTAATGCTTTTTTCAAGAAATTTTTTTTCTCTCACTCCCCAGTCATGGTCTAGTGATTTTTGCTTATTGCAGGCCTCTGAAAGGACCTATTAAGAAAGTAAAGGCATGGGCATGTTAAGAAAAATTATATGAATCTATTTTGGAAGAAATTTTATTTCCTCATCTCCTCAGTCACGCTCCAGTGATTTTACGTTATATCTCAAGAATGGTAGAAGGTAGAGGTGCCATATTTGGGTCATACAAGGTAGTTGAGGTCTAGTTTGTGTCAAAAAAAATTCGTCACGGTTGAGTGAGCACGGACCTTAAAATTGGAAAATCATGGTCTAGTGATTTTGGCTTATTGCAAGTCTCTGAAAGGACCTATTGAGAAAGTAAAGGCATGGGCATGTTCAGCAAAATTATTTGAATCTATTTTGAAAGAAATTTTATTTCTCCATCTCCTCAGTCACGCTCCAGTGATTTTACGTTATATCTCGAGAATGGTAGAAGGTAGAGGTGCCATATTTGGGTCATACAATGTAGTTGAGGTCTAGTTTTTGTCAAAAAAATTTCGTCACGGTTGAGTGATCACGGAACTTAAAATTGGAAAAATTCGACTCCGGTTAGGGGTGATCAGTTTATTACGTGGTATTTGAACTTCCTAATGGACTAGAGGGGCGATCAGTTTATTACGTGGTATTTAAAATTGAAAAAGCAGATTACAACAAACATATGTAATGATGTAAAAGTAGCACATAAACAATATGAAATATTTAAATCATTTGTTAACGCATATAAGAAATTGTTAATATTCCAAGACTTCAAAGTTGAGAACAAGTAACAAAAAAAAATGTTGTGACTGGAAAGATATAATATATAAGAAAAATAGTTGAAGTCAAATATCATTTATGTACGGGTGAGACAAATAGAGATATGAAAAAGTATTACAAAGGGCGCATGTAATGATATAATTTGAAATTTTTTTATATGGGGACACAGGAATGCAATATGAAATACCAAAAAGCTTAACTTACGAATATGCTAAATTTGACATGATGCAAGGTTTAAAATTATATTGCATTGAATTCATACAGTGTCATATACGGAAACGAATATCAGATATGACGGGCTAAACGAATGATTTATTTATTAAAGTGTTGAAATTTAAAGTTGTCAAATGATTAAGTTGTAATAATTAAAAATATTAATTAAAATTATTGTCAATATTCATTTAATAGAATGTGAGAACTTATATAATAATAGTAATTAAAAGTAAAACAATTTGTCTGTAATATTCGGATCGTTTGGTAACAATACATTACAAGTCGATGATTTGAAATGTTATTAGTAAAACAATATATGTTTTGAGTTAAATACAAAAAGGTACAACCGATTCACATTACGTCGGACTGTTTTAGTTTGCCCTTTCCGCCACAAACTGTCTGGCATGGGAGACCCTTCCAGGAGGTAAAACTCCAGCCAGCACAGGTTCTGGGTTCACTAAGGGACTAAAGCCTACCTGCCACGACAAGGCAACAGTACCATAGGTAGGAAAAAATTTTATATAGCCATGTAGCTTATAGTAGCTATAATAAAATAGCTGGAAGTGTGCAAAACACTTTCATTATTTTTCAAATTTTAAACAAACATCATAAGTAAACATCTTCATGATTCGGTGTCTTCAGTTGCAACAAATCCGTTATTGTCATGTACTCGAAGTCTTCCCAATCTTTCAACAATGAGGTCTCCGTAATATTCCATCCTATCCGCAAGGGTGATATTTCCCGATAACAAGTTTACAATAACAGACATAACTGCTTCGGGCGTGAAATTTAAGTGAAGATGAGAACGTATTGTCCTTTCAACGTGTCTGCGCTGATTCGAGGCTTCGATTGCAGAAATATTGTCCGAAAATCCGTAAATGATAGCAAGCGGAGTCCACGGCATGTAGTGTACTTGGCTGGTGAAAGTTGTGCCGTTACCTGCGTTATGTTCTGCAATTCTACGTTTGATGTTACGGCCCGTCTGTCCTAAATATGACACATTTGGGAATGGGAGAGAAATAAGAAGATACACAACTCCGGACTTGAACACCGGAATTTCTTTTGCGCAGAAGGAATAGGGATAATCGGAATTGGATATAAAACGAGATTGTCTATTTATATTTACGACTAATCTTTCTGATATGTGCGAAGTCCAGTAGTCGTCGATTTGCAATATTCCTCCAAGAGTGTCTATTGTTTCGGAACGATCGCCCACAAAATATAGGGAAGATAAAGTCGGCACTCTAGATATAAGTACGAGAAGCTGCGACTTTTCCCAAAGACGTAGATGACGCTTACTTCGATCCTGATTATTGATTTCTGTGGCGACTAGACGACACGTTTCGCCCATGACCCGATGGATTGTATTGGCCTTGTAATATCGAACGGGCAGCTGAAGTCTTCTCGCGTGTGTCCGACCGCTCAGTAACACATCAGCGGTATACCTGGTCCTCAAAATAAAATCTTTCCAATTTGAATTGATAGTAGACAAACAGCGTTCTCCTGGTGGCACAAGTTTAACTCGCACTGTGATTTCGGTTAGACGTTCGTCAGAGTGAATAAAGTTTTGAACAACACAGAGTTGTCCCTGTGAAAAATTTGGATTTCCAGAATTGTTGTTATAGGTCAATCTGAGGACAGAACCCTTGAATAAAGAAATTTCCTTTGGCTCCAAAACTTGTCTAGTTATTTGATTGCTCTGCATTGGAGTTGCTGGTCCCCAAGTCGAGCCGTCATGAACCTCGTCGATAGCAACAAATTTTCGCAATGTGACATTAGGGTCATTACGCTTACTTGTCAAGAAGTCTTCAATGACCATTTGTTCCGCTTTACGAGTCGATACAATTCGCATTGATTCTTCAGGAACACGATCCCAGTTGTCCACAAAATTGCAAGAATTACTAAGAATTGTGACAATATCTCGAACATGCTCTTGTTGTAGGGATGGTTGACGGAGCAATGTTATAACTCTTTGAAGCGTTTTGTCGCTAGCTGATCTTACAAAATGTTTCAAGGACATTGCCTTGAAAGAAGCCATGAAGTGAATCGATGTCCAAAACGGGGAGCCCCGAGGAGGTGGTAGTTGACACGGGTCTCCGTTAGCAATGACAAACTTATGACCGAACGACTCGTCAGAGGACATGATTTCCTTCATACAGCGATCCATCATTGCGTATATCTCGGCAGAAATAAGTCCAATCTCTTCAAATATGAAAATGTCTGTGCGTTGCAACAAAACCATTTTCTTCCCAGATTTACTTAGGCTTTGCATCATATGACAGTATGATTTATCAGGAGACTTGTTGTACTTTTCCGTAACAGGCAAAGGAAAAACTTGATGGATGTGGATTCCACCTAAGGATCTCGCTCTTTCGGAAGTCAAAGAAAGAAGTGATACTCGATATCCCAGACTAAGTGACACGAAAGCGAGAAGTTGAATCAAAAAAGTTTTGCCTGCTCCAGGGGGTCCAACAATACACGGAAATCTGCAGCATGATGTGCTACGTTGTGGATGCATGAAGGCTTTTAATGCATTTAATGCCAATTCAAAAGTCGTAACTTGTTCGAAGTAACTCTCGTCCGTCTGATGATCTGATCTCGGTATTAATGACGTTGTTGCGCATTCGGAAAATAACGGAATCCAATGATATAGAGGTTCCGCTAAATTTGCTCTGAAGACGTCTTCAGCTGTTGGCAGACTTGTTATTCCGGCGTTAACTAAGGCGTTGCGTAGTGTATCGATCAAATTTAACCTTCTAACATTCTCTATAATCGCGATGTCTTCTTCAGCAGTATGTCTTATTGCCAATTCAGAAATAGGAGGAGTCGTTGAACCAATTTCGTCTGAACCACAAACAATTTGGGTTATAAGGTCGTCCGCTATTTTCGTAAATCTTTCGAGTTTTCGTCTTGTAATCGGAAGATGAAGAGCTTCTGTGTCCATATATAACTTGAAAATGATATCTGCGTCGTCCTGGTTGTATTCCGGCTTTTTTGAAAGAAGTCTAGCGCGTATGAAGACGTCACGAAAAGAATTGGTGTGATGAAACAAATCAAATTCCGTCTCATAATGACCGAGTGTCAGCACCAAATGATAGAGGAAATTGATTTTTCTATTCGGATGAACATAGGAGCTTACAGCAACCGTTTCCTTGCTGTCTTTGTCGTGAACGAAAATGTTTGATAACCGTAGGGTGTTTACATCCATTTTTGAAGAAAGACGTTGAACCAGGTCAGCGAGGAAGTTTCGACTGGACATCATATGGTTTGAGTAACTTGACGAATTGAAGAAATTATCTTGCAAGAAGTGTCTTAATTTGACGAGCCCAGATCTTCTTATCTTCACTTCGTATCCACACGCATCGAGAAGTCTGTCGGTCAATGGATCTAAAGATATTTGGAGATTAGAAGTTGCTCGATTACCCGTGTAAACAAATATTTCATGATAAGCAAGCAATTTATTGACTGACAACAATTCGGGAGGGCGAATATTAAACTTTTCAGTATTAGAGTACGATAACTGAGATTCGGCATATTCTCTAGCATGTAGCTGTTGGTTAGCAGTGAAACGCCGCCAATGAGGAACGGTTTCGACAAGTCTGCAGTCGATGAATGGTGAACGACCACCAGTTATTCCATAATTAAACTGATGTGCGTCACCTTTCTTTGATTTTACTCGCCAAACGCGATACTCTGGAGGGTTCGTATTGACATGTATGAAATTAGCGGTTGATGTTGTGTAACTAGCATCATTAATAAAAGTATTCATCTCGTAATACCCAATCTCAGTAACTGCTAAACCTCTTACACTATCCCTATTTTTAATGTTATCGTCTAGTAGTTGTTGGCCAGAAATTTTAACGTGTTTCAAACCACCATCATTAATTTTTACATTACCTTTCTCATGTCCTTTTAAATACTTACTTCCGCTGTGACTCTCTTTACCTACGTGATACTTGATCAAATATGAGGTTGCGAATCGACGATCACAGGCAGTGCAGTTAAAACTAGATCCCAGCGCGCATTGCAATAACGGTATGGTCGGCAGATAGGTCGGTGGGCTTCTAGTTGGGTAGTGGTATCTGCCGCCTCGTAGCCTCGGATCAATCATAGTCAATTTGCTTGAAATAGACCCGTCAAGTTGTCGACAATTGGTGTTGTCGGCAAATCCGATGCGACGCATACGCTCCATCATGTCGGTACAATAGAGATTATGTTTTTCCTGAAAAAAGAACTGAGAACTTGTTGGGTGTCTAGGTACTCTACATACTACCTCTCCTTTCTCGTTCTTACGCTTCATGCAGCGTTCTCCGGCCCTCGAACAATCATGCGTGGACATTTTGAAATACAACTTTTTGAGGTCATCGAAGTCGGAAGAATTTTTAACGATTCCTTTCCTCATGAGTTGATGACGTGTGACCCCGAAGCTTTCATCATTGAACACTGTCTCAGGATTGCAGGAAATCCGACTTAAAGTTGTTTTCTCATCTTCGTCAAATAAAGCAGCACCGATGTGGACGTGTGCTTTGTTGCCAGGTGATCCAGTCGACTGAAATTCTAAGCGGGCGAACATATGATGTATTGGTCCTGCAGGCTGATCTGGGCTGTAAACGAGATACTGAAGAAAAACGTTAACAAAACGAAGCCACATTCTATTAATCATACCCATATTGGCATTGTAAATTCTTTTATAATCAGATGAAAACTGGCTTATTGCCTTAATGCTCTTAATAATCATCATGATACCAGGTGTCCTCACTTCGTTGCATGTCATTGTCATCCAGTATTTCCATGGGTATTTCGTAGTAAGCGCTGTCAATTCACGAATTTTGACATTGGTGTCGGATTCGTCATATGGAAGAGGACTGTCTTGTACTAAACAATGGAGAGATTCATTTTCGGCTATATGTTCAAGTCCTCGCCTGAAAACAAGTGCAGATGAATTTTTGTTCAATTTATCATTAAGTTTAAGATCAAAATAGAAATGCAGGTTTGAATGTTGCTGACTCGTTGGCAAGTTATGGTCGCGTATTCGAATACCAATCATGTCATTTTTGGACCGCAAGGCCCTAATTGTTCCGGAAGATCCCGAATGACAGAAATGGGCTTGGTGCATAGCGCCAATGGGGGAATTTCTTTTCATTGCCCAAAAAGTTGTTGGAAGAATTTGTGCCTCAGGGAAGAGTAGAGACACCATAGTAGAGTCAGTGTTACTGGCAAAGTGATGAAGTAAGTTTTGAGACCTTGCATTTTTTCTGCGGCGAACGCTTCTTTTCAAAACTTGAAAAGTGTCATTTAATAAAAGATGCAAGGGAAAATAGTTGCTATCTACATTAAAGGTAGGTACATTAGTTGAAATTGTATGTAAAGGATCGGACATGACTTCATCATCAAGAAAGTCGAAGTTAGACTGGTGTAACAATGAACGACTTGCATCATTATCATCATCACTAACAAAATCATCAGAATCTTCAGATGCGATGTTAATAATATTAGAATCACTCACATTACCTTCATCCATACTTACTATACTGGTCGCCTCATCCTCACATTGTATTTCAACAACCTCACCGTTTCGAATCTCAGACATGAAATGGCTCCGACATATCCCGACATTGCACTGCGTTCCTAAATAGCTCCAGTGACAACCCCAAACAGCTTTATTGGTACAAGTCCGTTTGAAGCATTGCTTAAGTGTGTAACGAGACTCCTTAACGAGAAAGTCATGATGCGAAACATTTCCACACTTGAGAAGTTGTTGACCATCTAGTGATCTTGAAAGACGTTCACCGTCAACTGCATCTGTAGTTGCACCGTATATTGCTAGTTGCCACGAAGGAAGATGTGGTAGAATGTGACACTGACGCACCAGTTTCTTGACAACTAACCACCAACGCATTGTGTGATCCCATCTAAAATAATATTAAAGCATTTAGTATTGAAAGAAATTAAAATTAAAAAAAGTATTATAAAACTCGTAATCCCACCTGAAAGCGTGACCATGTTTGGAAGATAATAACATGATAAGGTGCCTGCCCATGAAGTAATGGGGAGGGGAAGTACACCGCTTCCTTGAAAAGGGAGGCCTGACAATTAACAGAATTTCTTCATCCTTTAGTTGTAAACCAAGTGGACAGTCGAAGTCGTCTGTAATGGATGTGACGCATAGGCAAACAAGTGTTGACAGAATATTTGCCACAATATGTGCTTCTGAATATCCGTCTCGTTGTTGCTGTGGGCGAAGTGTATTTTCGAAACTTTTCTGAAAAACAATCTTCGTCATACAAAATTTAGAACGATTCTGAAACTTTTCAATGAAAGCAACAGTGGATAAAATAGCAGCTGCATATTGATCTTTTTGCTCAACTGCTTGCATCAACGCTGAGTTATATAATTGCCTGCAATGAATGAGCACGAAAGAGATTAATCCAGCAGGTGACCACGAGTTTCTGTTGTTCTCGTTATTAGAATAATTTGCGTTTACACTAAAATCAGTTCCGAGTTGGCATTGAAAAGGTTTGCAGCCGAAAGAGTCGGCGGGATGTACAATAACTATAAACATCTTAGTAGTATCAATAAAGTCATCACCCGATTGTTGAGAAGTTTGTACTTGCTGTGCTCTTTTTGCCCGCCACATGTAGTAAGCATCAACTTCCGACACGTACGTGCCCGAAGTCAAATGTTTCTGAATTAGTTCTTCGTCATAAACACCCGCTCGTTCACGACGATCTACATCATATGTAAGAAGGTACGATTCCGCATCCCGGCTTCTAGCATGATCTCTAAAAAGTCTTTTTCTAATATCATTACGTTGTCCTACTATGAGAGAATTAACCATGTGTTGGTCACGAGATATCGACATTTTGGATGGGTTAGGATTTAATGAGCACGATGACATTCCAAAGTGACCACCGCGCACGTCTAGTACGTGTCCCGATGAATTCCACTGCTTAATTTTACCTAGGCGTTTCAAATGAGGAATGAGTGTGCACGGAGCTAAGAAATCGCAGCCTTGATCTGCATTAGGACGAAGAACGGGATTGGTTGGTGGATGAAGTGTTGGGCGCTTCAACGAATCGTGCTTATCTTTGCACCATAAGATGCAAAGTCCATGCTGATCTGATACTGAAATTCCAGCTGCGCAAACATATCTGTCCAAATATTTTGTTGGTGAAGGCGGCCAATCGGGACGTGCCCCTCTAAATGCGTCTGGATCACTTCCTGACAATTTGAGGTCCGTGATATGTTCTAAATAATGCAAGAATGGAATGAAATCGCAATTTTCTACAAATTCCCAGCAACCTAGAGGACATATTACATCAGCAACTGGAAAAGCATTGAAAGCTTCCGTAATAAACCCTATGTCATAAGTTGCTACAAGAGAATTAATTTTATTAATATCATGAGTACGGTCCATAAACCGACATTCAGTGTTGTTTAAATTCATGCAACGCCACATTTCTCTAATTGAAGTTGGCAACACTGACCAAACTATATTTGAAACATTGACATCGGTCATTGACAAAAAGGACCAAAGCGCACTGGGCCAAGAACAAAACCATGATTGTTTAGTTGTATTAAAAGTAGAAGTTAAATACTTACAACAAAGCTCGCACAGCAATACCTGTGGCGAAGGTGCAATACCTCGCGAAATATATCCGTATTTTTTTCTTCTGAGTTGCTGTGACGTGGAACGCAAAAAAATATTATATTTCGTAGTATTGTTTCGGCAGCAATTGGCACATGTTCTAGTTGCATTTATGACCCCTTGAAGTTTCAAAGGATACTCCGGTTTGTCTGGCCTTTCCGTTCGCTTTGATGTTTGGCTTGTTGATGGCATTTGAAAAGAGAAAGTTAGTGGTACATAGGCATCTGCTTGCTCAACCGATTGAGCTTCTGATGGTACATGTGCGTCTGCTGTAGAGTAGTTCATGAATGAAACGTTTCTGGGTAAAACAGCCCAAAACATCACATCGGCTTTAGCTATCCTTATAGAAAATGTTTTGTTATCTTTTCCATAACAAAGTCTTGTACCCTCGTTCACGTCAAATATGTGAATGCAACTTGATAGGCCAGCAGCTGCTGCTTTGAAATGTAGAGATGAGGGCGGAGCATCGGTTAGTGTCCCGCGTAGCATTTCACCGTAGTCCATCGCATCGGAATTCCCTTCATATTCACGCTGATACTTGCGAACATTCTTTGAAAGTTCCATCCAACATCGACGGCGCAATGATTTGACGGTATATCGAAACGAAGCGCATTTCAACGAATCGGCGATAGCCTCATAAAATCCATGTGGAGGTGATCGAGGAAGATGCACAAAATGATCATAGCAATTTTCATCTTCTAGCATGTTTTGAATTCGACGCTGAATGCTTCCGCTTTCTTCTGGTGGAAGGGCACTGGCACTGATATTTCTTCTTGGAATCGACTGTTCATTGCCTAAACGACAAGTTTTTAAATCATTAGCACTTAAATTGTCAGCCGAGCTTAAAGACGGGAGAAGAGCTACGTAATGAAGGCCATCAGATAAATATCCTATATTAACCACTTGTGGAAAAGTACCGAATGAACCAAAATGTTTTGTCCTGTCGTCCCATAAACGAATTGTTATGGGAAACAAGGCAGCTATTGCATAAAAACAACATGTTTGGGCCCACTCACGAGTACTTCGTGTTAAAGAAACAAAGGTATTAAATTCCGAATCGCGATGATCAGAATCGGTTTCTAATAAATCTCTATAAATATTTGGACGACTACTTAGTTCATCTGCTACAATGTACCTAAATTGCTCAATATTATCCGGTTTGTTAGGTAAGCCCAGGGCTCGTATACCATCTAGAATTGAAATGTAGGCGCAGTCGCCACCCCCAGCATTGTCTACTAAATGAAAATTGTTTAAATGACAGACCTTTTGAAGCCATACCATACCACCTGGATTTTGGAAGGAACCATCGCGAAGTCCGTCAGTGCGAGGCGAAGCAGCGGTTGTCGGTAACAAATCCCGAACTGTTGGTCCAAAAACCTGATAACGAATCCCTGCTTGTCGTGTCGAGTCGTGTTCCGTGAAAGTCCTTTCCACTACGTTCTCGTAAGTCGGTTCGGTAGAATTGCCTTCATTGGAAGTTGCCAACCATTGAAGCAATTTCCTTTCACCATCGACCTCAACCAATGCTTTCACGCCACATGTTCTCACGTTGTGATCAGTGGCTTTGCAGTATGAACATGAACGTCTAGCGCGTTTGCGTCCGACCATTATGCACAATACCTGATGTGAAATGTTGTATGTTAATAAATATTGAGGCAACATTACGAAGTCTAACGTAAATGATATTGCTTTTCCTACCTTAAATCGTAGCTGATCTTCCAATGTAGAAAAAACGTGAATGAATGCACTGAGATGGTGACTAACTTGATCTCGGTGCTGTATTATCAGTTATAAATATATAACGATATGAAACGTAAAGTTGAAGTTTGAATATTAGATTGAATAGCTCAATAGATTTACTGATATCAATTAAGATATGATTCTGTGAAATGAAATGTTTTGATAATGAGTGTAAATGAGTAACGCTATATATATAAGCATTTTTAAGGTGCCGGTAAGATGTAATATGCCCTTCAGAAAGATTCCTGAACCGACGAGGCACAAACGATGCTAATTACGAAAATATCTGTGATGCTCCGATTTGAGTACTTAAGCAGATTTCCATGACACAATGAATTAAGATAAAATGAAATAAAACATTTTTCGCTATTTATCAATACAAGTGCATTGCCTATTGAAATATATGTAAAACGTCTGTGGACAAAGAGAAATTTTCAAAAACTCCAGTAACATTGAAATAAGTTAACTTAACAATGAAAATGGCAAACTGAAATCATGAATACGCCGTTTTAAAACCTTGCTAACTTCGATCGCAAGAACGTACGAGAAAACCAGATAAAAGTTTGAATTTTAACTAAGTTCAATTTAATTGCACCCAAGCCTACATTCCATTATGTTCTGGTCTACATACACATGGAATTGCAAAATGAAAATGTAGTTTGAATAAAAGATTGATAGATCAATCAATCCTCATTTATTCCTAAATCATTGTGTCATGAAAATCCGCTTTGCAAAATCATACAGATTAAAAATTATGTATAGGTTGTATAGGTTAAGTATAAGATTGGGGATCCGAAAATGATGAAACTAAACCTATCAAGTCCACCTTAAATCATTTAAATTAGTATTTTGAGAAAGATACAAGCCCCATAATAACAATTTATTGTATTTACTCAATGTACAATAGTCTTTGTTTGTAACAACCTCTACCTGGACATGCTGTTTGAAGTTATTTCTTAGCGACATTTTTGCGGAAAATTTGTGTAATCATTGAATATAAGGTAATATAGACTGATATTAAATATTTTTATTTTAATAAATAGTTTTTAATATAGCAGCCAACTACAGTCGCACATACGTAAAAGAAAACATAGAAGAAAATTAAATTTATATATAATTGATTTATACAAAAGCTATGTAACATCAAAGGCCTAACCAATATATATGTAGTATTACACAGCGATAAAAGATACTACAGAGTGACGTACAAGGTAACAAGCAAATTGCAAAAACCTATATTCATTTAGGTTTAGACGTGGATGTCATTATTAATGGCTCTAACCTGCATTGCCTGACTAATATGAAATTCGTAAATGTAGAAGGTTTAATACAGCTATGTCTTTTCAAATATAAAATATATAAGACAGTTGGATAGCGAAAAGAAGAAAGATGTAACAATGAAATACATGATAACATATCGCGCTAACAGAAAAGCAGTATTTAAAGTAAACAACGCGGGTAAAATGACGCCACAGGGTTATTGGAGATAAACTAAAGTAATCTTTAACCATGTACAGAAGTAACAGATTGTCAGACAACTTTAGCGGAAAAGTTGCGATCGACTTCTGGTAGTCTTTGTCACCCAGTATGCATTTTAACTTAAAATTTGAATGACGTATTACGTATTTGTCATGTAAAGTATGCCTGTTATATTTCATTTAATCAGTATTACCGGAGAAACTGAATGCAATGTCCCACGACTTTAATTTCAAATTACAGCGGTTTTAGGTGCGTTTGCATATCGGAAAATGAAGATCTAAAACAAATTCACTATCTTTAAAATATTAATCACACAATACAAGACAATTTAAAATTCATAATCAATCGTGCGCAGTAAATAAGTGGAAGGAAGTGGAATGTGTTAATGTGGTCAGGAGTTAATAACTTAGAAATTTTAATTTATTATCTACATTTACGTGTATGAATGTTCGTGATGCCACCTGAAAAAATAGGCCGATTCGAAATGATAAATTAAATTGAAACCAAAGAACAAAAGTAAAATAATTGTGGTACGTAGCAAACAATACAAGTAATCAAAACATTTCAAATATTACCGTAAAAACACTTCATACACACATCCATAATCCACGTATACAAGTAAAATAATCTAATACTTCACGAATAATAAATTGAAAGTTGTATTATTTGTTTTGAGTAAAGTTAGAGAAAACTCGTGCAAAACGAAAAGTCAAAGTTAGCCTAAAATATACTAGTAAACACATAATGGACAACGAGCAACAGAAGCCCTTGAATATAATTATGAACATTGGCTAAAGATCTCATCTAAGTATTAAAATGACTGAGCTCAGTCTATTTAATAATACAAGTGGTATGGACGTCTAAGCTAACATGAAATCGAATTTTAAGTTAAATAGTATGCTAAATTTATTATGGTCTTCAAAGACTGAAATACTGATCAACTGTAAAAATATAATGAATTATGAAGAATAAGAAATTTAGTAAATTGCAACTACCACATTCCAGTGGGGGCTGATCTGAATATTATAACTTTTGTCCTCCGCTCAATATCTGTTTTGTACCGCATGAACGGTTCAATCTGCGCAATACATTCCGATTAAAAACTTTCCCTTATATAAGGAATGTTTCAAATGTTAGGCGGAAATAAATGAAACAGCGTATAGCGAAAATAAAAGAATGCTTGATAACAGATCGAGTGCGCGCAAAAGATCGTTTTCAAAGAAAACAATGAAAGATAAATCTAATCAAAGTCTGCAACGATATAAAGGATATGTATTGTTCGTGTTAAGGATTGAATATTTGATAACTCATGCTAAAAATATTGCAATGAACTTCCCGTATCGTTTGATGTCAAGCGTTAGTTTTATGTTAAATTGCGAATTTATTCATGCCGACTGTTGATAACATATCGATTGCACAAAGGAAATTATTTAAAAGAAACAACGTTTGTGAAATGTAATGTAAGACATCACAGGAATATAGGCGATAATTTAAATAGTCTGTAATCTTATGAAGGATGAATGTTTTGGAAAGCTGAATACTTCTAAATATCTGATTATTTTACACGTATAGTTATAAGAGAGATCATTTATTTTTAAATGAAAGATTGTACAGTTCGAAATACCGAATGTTATCAAGCTATTACACTAAAAAGTGTGATAATAGCAAGTAATGATTTCTCTATGATTCTCGTTGGCATATTGCCACAATTATAGCTGGTCATTTTTGAATGATGGAATAGAATCATTTTTTAGAAGAGAATCTGATATGGAATTGCTGAGAGCAAGGTTAATTCAAAGGTGCTCAAGTGCGCCATAGCGCAGTGCCATCAAACCATTCGTGAGTTGAATATTAATATTGCGCACTTGCGACATTACATTTTCATAGCATGGCTCCGAATAATATTTTTTAACGACTTAACTTAAATTCCCGTTGCATATTTCACATGTAATTTGCTTGCCACTGTGCATTGCGATGTCAAACACTTGTCTGTTAATTCAAAGTACCTAGATTCCTTTGGAATCATTTTAAACGGACTATTTTTAGCCGATTCTACGACGCTGACGCTGGCCGGTTTCGCATTTCAAACAGCTACTTGAGTTAAATGTGTACTTTGTTTGCATTCTAATAATATAATATTGTAATATTTTGAGCACTTTGCAACTTAGTTAGGAGTCTGCTCAGCCTTAAATTATACATGCGCAGTAAAATGACCGATCGGAATAAATGGCTATTCGATACGAAATGCCCTGCCCTAGCCACAATCAGGTCTAAGAACCCGATTAAATGTAATCTGCTAATGTTACCAAAGACTTAATAAATAAATAATATGATGTAGCGGTTAAAAGAAACTAATATATGATGAAAAAAATGAACAATGATATGAACATACCAGCATGTCCTAAGGTTACCTGGATACGGAATTGATTGATCTCAACTTAATATATGCTATTACGGAAGAGTGTTATATATATGTAAGAAAAATATCATTCAAATAATGCCACAATCTGAGCACCTATATTTAAGCCTGCTCACTTCAACCAGAACAACGTAAAATTAGACATAGCGTACAATTGAAAGGACGTAAAATGAATGTGCTGACCAACTTTAGATTTAATATTTAGCTATCCAAAAGCTTAACATATATAAATTAATATTTGTCAGTTAAAGACACTACGTAATGATCGCAATGGTAAAATAGTAAAATGCAAAAACTGACATTCCCTCCGATTATGAGATATTGAAGGCTTTACACTTAATACCTGTCTACGCTCTGAACGTATGCGGCCTCGTTGTCTGAAAAATATGAAATTCAAAAAGTTATATAAGGGTTTAGTTTGTCAATTATCAAACCAATGAAACAGTAGGATATTAGGAACAATGGGAGGAATAACAATGGAAAACAGTGAAATCTAGGTGAAGTGGACACATGTGTCTGGGAAGTAATTTAATGGGTCCCTAACTATGTCGAGGATGTCTATTGTTCAAGTGAACTATTGATTGTTATTGTTAGACGACTTTTGCGGGAAAATTGCAGTTGGCTGGCTCCCACCAATGACTTTTTCAAAATAAACAACATGGGTTAAATGTAGACAATAGAGTCCCAGGATATTGGTGATAAGGTAAATCGTCTGTAGCCATTTAAGGGATGTGCATTGTTCATGTCACGATTGATTGCTTGACAATTTTAGCGGATAAATTGTAATCGAATTCACGTAGTTTTCGGGCGGTATGAATTTGATTCAACGTACATTTCAAATAATACATTACGTATTTCTCATGTACAATTTGCCTGTCACGTTGACGTTTGTTATATTATGTTGACAAGCGAGCACGAAATGTCTGATGTCAATTATAAAAATGGTTTAGATTTGATCGTCGTGAGTATTGTCCAACATTATGATTTATAGTGGTGAACTGTCTGATTTGAATTGACGTTAAGGAACGAGTCATTAGTAAAATGGCCAGCAGTTGTAAAACATAAAATTTATTTAAACAAAAATCAAGAAGTCGGCCAATACATTTGAGTTAAGATAAACTGAAATTGAAGATTTTGCGATCTCTCGTTATTCTCAACACAACTGCATTGGCTAACAAAATATATAAGAAAGGTCAGTGCATTGACAAATGCAATGTATTTGAGAAATTTTCAAAATCTTCAGTAACATTTTGAATTACTTACAAAAAGCAACCAACACGAGAAAAATGTAACATCTTGTTATGGCCTGAATGTCAAAAGTTCATAATTGCGAGTGTCGATTCAGTGTAGAAAATGCTGTTGCGCTGCAACGTTTTTAGTTAGTGGAACTGATATAAAGTGTTACGAATCAAAATTTCACTGAAGCCCACAATAGTTTAATTTCGTTTGTGATGTTGCCTATACGGTAAGTAATAAACATTTTTAGTGCCACACATTGATGTTTACCTCACATTGATATGCAACTTAATTTCGTAATTTGCAGCAACCGCAATTTACAATTAAGATTGACATGTCGGGAATGGATGTTTATTGGCAGCCACGCAGCAGCAAGATATAGACCATGGATGTATTTGATCTATCGTTTGTATAAGTGTGTTGGCTGCAGGGAATTATAAATATTTCACAATGCTGTGTTTTATTAAAAATGCATAGGTGTTTGGCTACAGCTGAAATGGACTTAAAAACCAGCGTCAACAAGGACGTTGAAATAAAATTTATTAAAGAATGGTAATATGTATGAAGTCATGATAGAAAATATGTTATAGCTATTATATGCACCATACCTCGACATGTTTCTGTAACCACTCTATGTTTACAAAGTAACATTCTAGGAAGAAAGAGAAGAGAGATATGCTCTTATATTGTTAATAAGTGTCAAATTGTAACATCTTCATCTTACATTGCGTAAGGAAAGAGGTGAAATAATTATTTAAATATAACGTACTTTAGGAAGCATGATTCAAGGAAAAAATCAAATTTATATTAGGTCAAATCTCGAAAAAGCCAAGAATATGGTCCGTATTTCAATAATCCGCCGTGATCCTGATCAACAGTAATGATTTGCAAAGTTTCCATGCACGCTAGAAAATTGTCTTGCGTAGCCAGCACAGAAACGGTTTGGGTTCGTGTCAACATCTTCAAGTAACAAAGCAAAATATGCCTACAAGCTTTAATTTCAAGTTAGTTTATTATGTAGGGAGCTTTATATGATTCATACTTATAATAAATGTCTTGGAGATGGAATGGTTCGAGTTCATGTGAAAGACTATATAAAGAATAATTTAAATCATGCCTGCAGTTGAACACTCGTTAATTTTAAGGAATTTTGTTCTGTTGTAAACTTTAACTAAATGATCGGCAACACACTGACTCATAATGACCTTCAAACGGCCTTTTATATGACTTAAACAAAGCTATTTCAGGGCATCGCAGCTCATTGCAAAGCTGTCGTTAACCTAATACTGAAACAGCTTCATTATCGTCTGTTCAATGTATTATTTTCGGGCCGCCACAATTAAAATAGACTTTATAATGTACTCAAATAAGTTTTGTGTCTCGTTAAACCAACTGAGAAGTTGTTTTTCACATTGAAGAGTCTATTCCGAAAGATTACAGACTTTC